GTTAGCATGCAGTAATTCACAGGCTGCGCAGGCTGCAGTATGTGCAAATTTGTCTATATGCCTAAGTGCCGCTATAAGTTGTAGGTTTTCAGCAGCAAACGCATTGCCACATAAAATGGCGGGGCTGATGGCTCGGTCTGCCGTTGCCACAGCACCAACAACAACAACTACGAATTAACTACACAATGCCAACTGTCGCATTCACTGTGAAAGACTGCAGTCTGTTGGCGGCTTGTATAATCGCTTTTAAATTAGTTAGTTACAAATGTACACAGCGCCACGAGCAAGGCACAGCGTTAGTAGCATATGAATGTACGACTATGTATGCACTTAATTGTATATGTACATATGTAATTGGCTGCGAGCATATGTGCAACACGAGAATATTTGCAAGCGAACAATGTCGCTCATTCTGCAAAACTTTGCGATTCTTCGGCCATAAATATGCGAAAAGCGACGAAACGGACTAACAAAAGCGCGAGGGGTTGAGGGTGTGGGGGTGTGGTGCAGCAACTGTGAACGCGTGACAGTTAAAATGCTTTTTAGCGCATTTATCACACGCACTTAGCCAGCAGTGAACAATATTTGATTGTGGAACACTAGAAATGTGAACACATTCTCACAAACACTTACACACATACATCTACATAAATGCAGTTACTTAAATGTTTAGGCGTAATGCAGTATGTTAGCTTCTCGCTATGTATCGGTATTTATGTGTGCGTGTGTGTGTGTATGTTTTGTAGAATGTGCTTTGTCACACAAGAGTCTCTCGTCACTGCAGTGAAGACAACAAAAACTTCAACTAGTATTATTAGTTCTACGCGCGTACAAGTAGCAACTACGCTCCAGCCCCAGCTTTAACTGCAGCAGCAACAGCAACATTTATCATTCGGCAGATTACAAACTAGTCCAAAGACAAATGTTCCAAATGCACAATTAACAAGATGCTGCGACGACTCAAAGTGCATTTTAGTGCTCATTTAAGCTAACAGTAAATGCCACCATTTGCTTTACACTCGACCAATACCAGGCAAGGTAGTGAAAGCTGCAGTTATTGTTGTTTATTCTGTGCGAAGAAACGGGAAATTCCAAACGCAGTGTAGCGGTTTTATCCTAAATTCTATTCACCAAATTATTAAAGTTCATAATAAATGTTCTAAAGGATTAAGGCATGCACGTGATTGCAAAGAACATCAGAAGAACCATTTGGAAGGGACCAAGCTTCATATGACAATATATATCTGGGAGCAGAAGAAAAGCCACCCAGAGAACAACTACACCAAAGAGCAGTAAGGAAGTAACTTTCATAATGGCATTATTCCCGAACGGGCTGGTTAGTACTTCTCGGACGTGGGTTTCTCAAATTTCCAGAGTGTGGGAGAAAGACTCAAGAGTGGGAGTAGAGGTACGCTCTATAACATCAGCACAACTGTTATTGGGAAGTTGATTGAGAACACTTAATAGGTGCTCGCTAAGACAAACCATTCATGCAAGAAGAAGAAGATCAATTGTTTTTCATTGCACCCTTATGTAACGTAAGAAACACCTTCTATAGCTAAAAACTCACGGATTTCTATGACAGTCGACTCAAGGTTAAATCCACATCCCTCTTCAAGGAAAACTATTCCACACCGTGGTATGACACGCTGCGGCTTCTTCAGAGTGGCGAAGCTATTTCAAAATATACGAATGTAAAGTCTGAGGTACAGTCCTCATTTACTGGATTTCGAAATGAGTTAACATATAGCTATTTGTGTTTTCTTCTTCCGACAGAGGCTCACGGATATATTTGAGGAGCTTACAAGGAAGAACTATCAGCATTCGCTTTCGCTCATATAAAACTAGTCGAAATATTTCCGTTTTCTTAACAATTTTCCATAAAGTCTATAACACCCACTGGAATGATTGTTAAGAAATCAAACCATGTCTTTATCTCAAATGGTCAGAACAGTAGAAAATACAATAACAATCGCTTTTTCCTGCCACCACATTCCCAGACTTACTGTATGTGTACCCATAAGACAGTGCAGTCCAATACTACAGGTTTATGAGAAGAATGAAAATTTTCACACAAATTTAATAGAAGAACTCTTATATCGTATCAACCAAAGCAGAGTAACTTTTGCTATAATCAGCGGATCATAGTGAAAAGGCTCATCTGCAGGCATTACCAGTGATATGTTGATAATGATGATGCCTGCACCACTACTAGACTTGATGAGCTAATGGTGATTGCCTACAAGGATAGTGTGTATGTATGCCGTTGGTAGGCACTTTGCTGCTTTGTACGTGCCCAACCTAAAAATCACTCAATATCCACACCCACCACCACCACGCAATCGACGTTCAACACTCGACTGGCATACACGTTATGAGCTCAGGAGCTATAGACATCAACATCTCAACGACCCACATACAAACTTGTGTATTACTAAAACAAAGTGCAGTTAACTGCTTCAAGTGTGTATATGTACGAGTATGTATGTAAGACTGACATATAACTGACAAGCTGACTGACTGAAGCAACTTAAGACGGAGACAGGATGCCCATCGAACTGTTGTTGCTTCCTCTTTCACCCTCTCTCTATTCGCTTATACTCTACTTAAGAAATGTATTTGTGTTTTTGTGTGTGTTGACGCTCAGCTTCGCATCATCTCTTCGCATGCAACTTGAATACCAAATGCCATCTGACAACTAAATTCAACGCGATACCTCGAGCATGACGAACTTTAGTTGCCGCGTTTTCACGCTCACCCCACAGCCGCGAGGTAGGTAGGTAGTAGATTTCAGAGTGATTTACTAACTGCTTTGCCCGTGCGTGGCGCCAGACGGGCAAGCATGGGCAGCCAAACAGTCAATCAGGACCAGATTGGAAACAAAAGGCATGCCTGCAGGTAAAAGCCGCGCGAAGACAAAACAAAAGCAAGCAACACTCTGAGATTGCCGCCGGATGAAGCCATGTTAATGGCAAGCCACCCAGTGGGTGTGGGCGCGTGTTTGTGAACAATTGATCTGATGATGGTATGTGATGCGGGGTGTGGGGTGTGGGGTAGAAGTGTGCTTGCGATGAATGAAAATATTTTGAATAGACGCACGAACACTTCCGCTTGATTAGCTGATTAACAACATATTTTACTAAGATCTGATATCATGCTACTAAACATACTTACATATATAATATTTGCTTTTGTTTGTTCATTTATATTGGAAAGTATTTGCATGTATTGGTCAGCCGCCTTTTGTTTATGCGTTGTAATCGAAATGAATTCCCGAGAAATGAAAGCCCGGTGACAAATTATCATTGACAACCTCTGGCCTAACACAATTTTTTGCGGGTGAGGAGAAGAAAAATACCTACCGCATCATCATTATGTCGTCACATCAATGGTATGTGCTACTTGCAGGTCACTAAAAACTCTCCTCCAGGGAACCATCGTCCATACTGGAACCACTTTCGCATTACTTCAGGGTGGCGCTCCATTTGTCTCGTAGTGTGATCATATCTCGCCACCTGCGTCCAGATCCTGCTTTTTCGCTCGTGCTACGTTTTCTGCAAACTCCTTTACATTTACCCAGTTTTCTTCGCCTTGTAGCACAATTGAGTCAAATTTATCTACTCTTAGTTCTCCAACTGTATTTTCAAGTCTAATTCTCGCATCTTGCCAGCGAGTGCTTTGAAAGATTGTAAGCTTGGCGTCATCTTCGTAAGCATCGGTATAGATACATGACGAATTTTCAGCTTTCTCTCTTTTATAGAGGTATTTCCTAAAATATCCGACATTAGAGAACATCTGAGTAGTCTACTTCCTCGAATTTCCCAGTTGTTCATATTCTGATGTCTGCTTTTGATCTGGCCGTCCAACGGCCATGACTTCCTTCTTCCCATCACTGGATCAGAGTTTCTTTCCTTACGTCCTCTCTGTTTGTATTGACAGTGCATCCTTGGCTCTTTATTTTTTTGAGCGTCCAGTTTCTTTTCTTTTCGGCTGCCAATAGGTCGACGGGAACGCTTCCGCTTATTACAGCTATAGCAAAGCCACCGTGCGGTATACTTTGGCCAGTACCAATCGTATTTTATTCTTCTTAAGTGAGTCAGCCCATAGCTCAGCTCCATACAGTAAGATGTGATCTTAGCCATTAGTCTGCTAAGCTCAGAAGTGACTTTGGAGGCTTTGACTGCGGCATGGGCTGGATTTGTGAACAGTAGCTCAATCTAGTCTTACACCCAGATAGTTAACAACTCTTCTTGACCACAGTGTATCCGCGACTGTGTGGATGTCTATTTAGAGAGGTATGTGTTTCCTCGTCAACAGCAGCACCTCGGTTTTTTCTGTTGCGAGTTTTAGACCGCGTTGGTCAAGCCAATTTTTGTTTTTATCATTACTTGATTTAATTTCCTACGTGCGTCTTCCGTATCGCGCGCGGGGATTATAGCGGCAATGTCAACATATCCCACAAGACATGTGCTATCAGTCATCTCAAGGTCTACTATGCCATCGTAGCTGACTTTGCAGAGGTCTGGCCCGAGAAGAGAGCCCTGCCCGTCGGTAGTTTAGTAAAGTAAGGCCCTGCCTCTGAGATAGCTCTACCTATACCCATGGCTTAGCACGATAAGCATGAGCAAGCTTAGTGCAATACTAGTTAGGACAAAACGAGCTCTACCCTTTCTTCTTGCACCTTTAGCCAATCTTAAGGTCGAAGGCTTCATGATTAAGCTTATAAGTCAAGACTTGGAGTTCGGGCTTAATTGATAAATCTCTGACTCATGCAGTTTGTTTTTTCCAGAGCGAGACTTAGAGTAAACTTTTGTAATCACTTCGTCGTCTCTTTTACCGGGGCGAGACGTTAAATCACCGTTGTATTGAAGCTATCTGAATTTTAAGTTCATTAAATGTAAGCTCTCATCTACCCGACAGAAAGGAAACCCTCGCTGACAAAGCAGAAGTCTTTTTCATACGCATTTTTTTATTATTAAACTGAAATACCAAAAAAATTGCTATATGTAATCCAAATATTGGTCCAAAAAATTAGAAGCCACTTGACATTCAGCATACAAGCGACTACAATCGGCATCCGATTTGCCAGCCAGAAAAGCCTCCATGTAAGCTGCACCTATATCCTCCTTACCAGGTCTGTGGTGAAAGAGCGGTTAGAACGTGCATGGAAGTAATTAATAAAATATTATGAAACAACAACTCACCTCAAAACCACATCGACTAACTCCGAAAACATGCCAACATGTCCGTCTACTTGCGCATTTCGACAAATAGAACGCAGCAAACACTGATGGCCATTACCATGCTGACGCTCCATTAAAACTTCCAAAAGTGTATAAACAAATTTACGGGAATCATCCGCCTCATAGTCCGTATGCCCACGAAAATTCCTCATAGAACGCGCAAATGTATCCTCCCACTTCTCCCATGGATAGGTGGGCTCGTCGGGCAAGGGATAGAAGCCACCTTGAATGTTGTTAATCGAGACTATGGAGCGCCAATCTATGGGATCGTCCACATTTACCGTCGCTATGGCGCCGGCATCAATCTGTAAAGAGTTGCTGATAACATTACTGAGAAGAGGTAAATTGATAATTATTGTACTTAGCCTTCATTACCTTGACCAAACCGTTACCGTTAAAGATTAAGGTGCGCTTTTGACGCTGTAATTTCATAAACTCTGTCAAATTTGCGCCGCCCACTATTGGAGTGAATTTGCCACATGACAGTTGACTTTGGAGTAAGGCAAGAGCAACGAAATAAATAATGGAAAACATATCTATTTTACAAAAGAACTTATTTTGAGTGAATTAATAGAGCCACACCGTTAAAACGTCACTATTCCGCGCTTGCAACCGAACTGCAATCAAGTGAGTTATTAAATGAGTTATCAAAACGCCTGTCACCTATCAGCCCATAGGAATGTATGACTAAGAAATTATGACCTACTGAAGCCGGCCAATGTAGGAGAACCCCAATTGATATAAAGAAGCGAATTGGTACAAAAGAAAATGGCAAAAAATTTATATTTATTAATATAATGCGCAGCAAAGCAACTCGACGCAGCTAAATGTGGCTAAATAAATATTTTGCTTTCATATTAGCAGATTTATTAAATAAGTTGTCAACGAGTCAAATTTACTTATTTATATGTATGTACATATTTATACTGAAAACGCAAATAGAGGAAAGTTCTTTCACAACTCTCTTTCTGGAAGATTTGCTCTATTTCCTAGCGCTAATGAAGCTGCATACATAGAGTATTTAATATGACCGACGTACTCGTATATCGACAAATTAATTGCACTTAACTGCTTTAATGATGTTTGCGATGAATCAGCCAAGACGCTAATTATTCGTGTACATAAATACCAGTGCAGGTAACTTTTTAGTGAAGTTAGCAAGAGATAGAGTTTGTGGTGAAGGTGGAGCAAGCGGTTGTGGCGTCTACAATGGGTAGTGACCTCACCACTGAAAGGAAGCATTGCGATATAGATAGCCCTTGGTAACCATGACCTTTGGTATGCCTACAACTCAAACACATACATCTACATACATACATACATTCTTTGTATGTTAGTTAAAAGTCAAAGACCCTTTGAGCATTCGGTTCACAATTGAATAGATGCAAATTTAATGACCACTCAAGCAATACTACTCAGTTTCTGCATTTGTCGAAGCTTGGCACGGCAAACGGAGATCGCACAAGCAAACGTGGAAACGCCATAGATTATACCAGTAAACCAACTCGGTGCACTTTGATATTAAACAAGTTTTCTCTAACATTTACACGCTAATATTAAACAATGCAGTGGTCATGGATGTTAATCCTCGTCAGATCGATATAAACAATTATGAAGGGAACTAGTTTTTCCCTTTGTGCTTGGCTCTCGGTGTGGAAGAATAAAAAGTTTTTCATAAAAATCTAACAGCAAGAACTGTAGATGCCTCCATTTGTTAGAGGCACATCACAAATTGAAGGAGAAACTCGGCCAAAAAGCGCTTCAAGGATTATAAAGCACCAATTATATACAAATTTATATATAGTACGGCGACCACGATAGCCGAGTGGTTAGCATTGCGTACTGACATTCATCAGGCTCCGGTTCAAATCCAGGTATCATACTAACATCCAAAAATTTATGGAAAATTAATTTAAATAAAAAATTATGCTAAATTTTCTAATTGCGGTCGCGCCTCCGAGTTATTTCTCACATAAACCAAGGCTTCTCGTCAAAAACCATCAGCCGTTGGGAGGCGGCATAATATTAATTGTAGGTTCCTCCATTTGTTGGAAAAACATCAAGACGCAAACCACAAATTGGCGGAGGAGCTCGGAATCACTTCAGCTGTTACAAAGCGTAAATTTTATATACGAGTATATATGTAGCATGTAGTACTCAACAGTATATCAGAAATTACATTAAAAAGTTCTTAATTTAATAGAAACTATTAGGATAGAGTTTAACTAAAACCAATATTTTCTTTTTTTCAAAACATATTTATTTGCATTACAATTTTTTTGAAACTAACAAAATTTTAGAAAATTTTAAAAGTGATTCTTATGAATTAAATGTTTAAAAGACGGTACATGGTTTGCGAAAATTTTAGTCCGGTGAAGAATGTCTTTCGGACATTTTGCTCTACTTATGGTCAACAAAAACGGCATACTAAGCGTACTATTCGCAACAACATCCCCCATCTTGAGACCCGGCATTTATTACTGGATAATATTCGACCGAATAAACCACTTCCAGCATTTCTGACTCAATGAGCATTTAAACAACTGAAGACATTCCAGAGCTGCAATTTGTTGTGATTGGTGGGGCGGTGGAATCATCGATTCATATTTCTTCATATACTCGTATGATGTCGGTGAGGCCGTAACCATTAGGGGCGACCGTTATCGCGCTATGAAAACCGACTATTCGATGCCTGAAATTTAAGCTCGTGATCTCGGTGACACTTGGTTTCAATAAGACGGCGGCACTTCCCACATATAGCATCAATCAATGGATGAAGGCACATTTCGGTGAGCAGATAATTTGACGTTTTGGGCCGTTAGTTTGGTCACTGAGATCATGTGGTAAAACACCTTACACTTTTTCCTGTTAGATTCTAAATTGCACCAGAACATCACGCATGACATTCGCTAGTTACCAATCGGAATGCTCGAACGAGTCATCGAAAATTAGACTCAACGGATGAACAATCTGCCACGGCCAACATTGGAAAGAGATACTTTACAACCACGTTGGAAGTCATCAATCATCATCATCATTTTGATGGACCAGAGTCTTACAATGGTTTTCATGCAATTGATTTTTTTACCTAGCCATCGTAGCCGCTGTCTCTTCATTCGCTGAACTATGTCAATGTCGTCGTATAACACACACAAAAATCCTTCGCAAAACCTTTTTCTGTAAGACATCCCAGGCCGACTCACCAGATATCGAGATCGTCCATGCTTCTGCACCATATAGCAGGGCGCGAACTCGCAAAGTAATGAGCAGAATATCATAAATTTTAACAGCTATCAAGGTTAGATTAAGATGCGGAATCTCAAATTTGTATGCCAGGATAGTTTTGCACGTGGTCTTAGAATCCTGAAGCTAATGCTTGAGTAATAGTTTTATCGATGTGGCTATTTTTAGTCAGTCTTCTATTCAATGTAACTTCCAATTCGGATTTATTGAAATTGAAAGATATGCAGCTGATTTAGAATAAATATTACTTGTTTAATGGGACATCTATAGTGATCCAAGCTATAGGGGCCCTAGAATTCGAATGTACACTTTACTTTATGGAACTCGTATTGCGCTTTTGACAAACTTATTCACGATATTCTCAACATTTGCGAGCACCCATTATAGTTTTTTAAACAGATGTATTGCTTTTACGGTCACAATAGCCGAGTGGTTGGCATTGTGTACTGCCATTCTAAAGGCCAGGATCCTGCTTCGACCAACATCCAAAATGAAATTTTCCAGTCGCAGTCGACCCTCGACAGGGAATGTCAAGCCCTCCGAGTATGTTTCTGGCATTAAATAAAGGCTCCTCATAAAAACGTATTAGAATAAACTGTAAACTGTAGGTCCCTTCATTTGTTGGACAAACATCTAGACGGACACGACAAATTGGAGGAGGAGCTCAACCGAAACTCGCTTCAGTGGTTACAATGCATGGATATAATTATGTATATTTTCCATCGAACTTTTCTATAAATGAGAAAAACTATTGAGTTTTAATTTTAGATGAAATGTTTTATTTTCGTAGAAATATGTTTGTTGCGCTCGCTGGGCTTATAAATCGTCATCAATAGTTACTCTGTTCATACAAATATAATATATGTACATATATCATATATACATATAAAATAAATATATCATATAATATGTATTTACTTTCATACATACACAGCGGCCGCCGTAGCCTGGTGGTAAGTATTGCGTACTGAAGTTCGGAGGGCGAGGTTCAAATCCCGGTACCATCGATATCACAAAAAAAAAAAACAATGGAAAAAATAAAAAATTAAGTTAAATTTTCTAATAGCGTTCGCCCCTCGGCAGGGAAAGTTCACCCCTCCGAGTGTATTTCGGACATAAAATGAAGGCTTCTCGTAAAAAAACCATCAGCCGCTCGGAGGCGGCTTAGTATAGACTATAGGTCCTTTCATTTGTTGGAAAAACATCAAGACGCAAAACCACACATTGCAGGAGGAGCTCGGCCGAAATATCGCTTCAGCGGTTACAAAGCGCCAATTAATACATACACAGCAATCAACGATGACCAAGCAACAAAAAAGGAAAGAACTAGCGGTGAAGCTCCAAAAGAAGTGTAGTAGAAAACATTAGTTTGAGCGAAAATGGCAAAGTAATTTGCACACAAATGTACCATTGTTTAGTTCATGCTTTTCTTGTATCCGTTTACCTTAAGCTTGCAGTAAGCAATGCACAACTTTGGCTAGTCTGTAGGCAAATCGATAATTAAATAGTGATTATCGAATTTCCGTTACTTAAGAATTGCACAAAGCAAAGGGGTAATTTCGTTTATACTAATGCCTTCTTCGGACCGATATCTAAAACACTTTGAAAACGAGTTTTGCTATGTTTTCCTTGGCATATCAGCTGGTGTTTACATTAGGTAAAGTAAGTTACTACATACGAGTGCATTGAACACGATTTAAGCAAAACTTTCTTTTAGCGTATTTTGACTAATAAAGTGGCAAAACTGAACGCCAATTTAAATAATCTGAAAACAATTTTTTAATATTTGATAATGGTGAAAAGTGCTTGGGGGATGCCTTTTCGTTTGACGGCACTTATATGCGAAAGCGCAAATTTTAGCGCGAGAACCACTTTTTGGTACGAAAACATGTTTTTAATATCGATTCAAATGAGTTATAAATAAGTTATTAATTGATAATAAAATAATTAAATTTAATAAAAAAGTTAAACACTCCCACAGACATTCGAATTTGGTCACCACAAAAGGCGATAGTGTCATGTATGTGTTTAAAAACAATACAGAGTTATTCATTTTGCGGTTTCGGAAATAAACGTGAGGAAAATATATTTATAATATTTAATAATCTAAATAATTTTTTTATGAAACTCCTTTTTTATTACAAAGTTAGAGAATTGGCATTATATGTGAAATGCAAATTTCGATCCGTTTGCGGTAACACCTTTGGCACACATAACTTGATGAATATTAGTTTCCAAGTGCTTAAGAGTTGAAGGTTTATTCGCATAAACAAATTCCAATGAAATCGATTTTACCTAGGTATTCAGATTTACCATTCAGTAAATTTTGTTACTATTTCGTATTCTGAGCTCACTGTTACCCTGTAAAT